GACATAAATATGGGGAAGGGGAAAGGGAAAGGAAGGGGAAGGGATGGGATAGAATGGGATGGGAAGGGATGGAGAAGGGATGGGATGGGATGGGCAAAGGGAAGAGGAAGAGGATGGGGATGATGGGGACAGGGGTGGGGATGGCAAAGGTGATGAGATGAAACAAGGATGAGGAAGAGGAAAGGGATGGGAAAAGGGGAAGGAGAAAAGAGGAAAAGAAAAGGATAGGGATGGGGAGGGGAGGACATGGGATGGGAGAGGAGGGGAGGGAAAGGGAGGAGGAAAGGGAAGAGGAGAAGAATGGGGATGATGATGGGGATGGGGTGGGACAAGACAGGGATGAGAAAGGGGAAAAGGGAAAGGACAAAGGGCAAAGGAAAAAAAGACAAGATGGAAGAGGAGAGGGGAAAAGAGGAAAAAGAGAAGGGCAAGGGGAGAAGGGGAAAGGAAGAAGGAGAAGGAAAAAAGAAGAAGCAGAAAGAAAGAAGAAATGGGAAAAGGAAGAAGGCAAAGGGAAGAAGAAAAGGACAGAGACAAGGAGGCCATGCCCACCTCCCCTCTGACAGCACCAGGGCTGTCCACGGGGAGGGGGTCACCCCTTACCTTGTCCCCCTGGTAGGGGGGTGGCAGCTGTGCCCACCTCCCCTCCGGCAGCCCCGGGGGTGCCCATGGGGAGGGGGAGCAGCCCCCGGCTGGCTGGATGCTCCTGTGGGCACCCCTGTCCCCCGGGGGGGGGTCACCCCCTTACCTTGTCCCCCTGGTAGGGGGGTGGCAGCTGCCAGTAGTAGGAGTCAGGGGGCAGCTCCCCGAAGCGCTCGTAGGTCAGGACGGGGTGGGGGGTGCCCGGCTGGACCCCGAAGCCGCTGCTCACGCGGGTGCTGCGCTGCCGGTTCACCAGGGCGAACCCCTGGGCATCCCCCGGGGCGAAGGGCGTCCGGACCTGCGGGACTGGGGGGTCAGCGGGGTCGGGGACGCCCGGGGGGGGCACCCTGGGGGCACCCTGTGGGTGCGGGGGACACTCACGGTGCCGCGGGCGAGGGCGGTGCTGGCGCAGTGCTGCACGATGCCCATGCAGAAGCAGGGCAGGCACCCGGCCGGCTCGGCCCCGCTCAGGTGGAAGTGGTGGGCACGGCAGGTGGCACAGTGGGGACCCTCCACGTTGGCCTGGAGGGGGGGGGGGACACGGGGTGGTGACGTGGCCCTGTCACCCCTCCTGGGGGCGGGGGGGGCACACGGGGCTCACCTTGCAGCGGCACTGCCCGTCGGCGTCGCAGCCCTCGCCGGTGCTGCCACGTGGGTCACACTGGCACTGCCCCCCGGGGACACCGGGCACTGGAGGGGGGGGGCACACACACACACAGTCAGACACAACCCCCCTCAGTGCCACCGTGGGGACACTGCTTCACCCCCTCCCCGTGATGCTCACCTTGGCACGGCTGACCCCGCGGAGGGTCCCCCACGTACCCGGGCAAGCACCTATGGGGGGACACCCCAAAAAAAGGCAGTGAGGGGGGGAGTCCACCCCAAAACCACCCCCCAGGCCGCCCTGGTGTCCCCTGTCACCTCTCGCAGAGGCGCCCGCCGTGCCCCGGGGCGCAGGCGCTGCAGGTGGGCTGCCCGTCCGTGTCCTCGAAGCAGATCTTGGTCACCCTGAAGAGGGGACAAAGTGACAGGTGACACCCTGCCGGTGACACCCAGGGATGTGGGGGAGCAGGAGTGGCACCTACTGGCTGTCCCCATGGGGCCCGTGGCAGGGACAGGGCCGGCAGTCGCCCGCGGTGCCCCGGGTGGCATCGCCGTAGTAGCCAGGCTGGCACTTGTCACACTGGGGTCCCTCCGTGTGATCCCGGCAGCCCTGGGAAGCAAAAGGGGTGATGGCACCGGTGTCCCCGCCATGGTGGTGCCCGGGGTGTCCCCTGGCTGTGCCCAGCTCACCTGGCAGACGCCGGTGTCGGGGTGGCACTCGCTGGCGTGGCCGTGGCACTGGCACGGCTCACACGTGCCCAGGTAGAGCCCGGCGCTGCTGCGGGTGTAGCCGGTGTCACAGTCCTAGAGGGGACACGATGCCAGCGGGTGGGACACGGCTCGGAGGGGCAGTGAGGGGACCCCGAGGGTGCTGAGGGGACCCCGAGGGTGCTGAGGGGCCCCAGGGGGTCTCACCTGGCAGGATGCCCCGCGGTACCCGGGTGGGCAGGCGCAGTCCTCCACCTCCAGCGCGGGCGGGCGGCCGGTGGCGTGTGGCACTGCCACGTCCAGGCTGACATCGGCCAGGCTGCGGGGACAGAGGGCACGTCACCACTGCCCTGCCACCCTCCACGCCCCCTCCTGTGCCCCCCACCCCGAGGTACCCACCTGCTCTCCTCTGGCTGCTCCGAGTAGGACGCCCGGATCATGAGCAGGTCCACGTCGGCCAGGGCCATCAGCAGGTGCTCGCGGGTGGCATCGTGCCCGTCCGCGCGGCGCCAGGCGCCCTGTGCCACACCGGGGTGATGGGGGTGCTGCCATCCCCCACTGCACACAGCCTGACCCCCCAGGCACCCGGGGTGACCCCCCCGTGGCACCCAGACTGATCCCTGGGGCACCCAGTCCCACCCCCTATGGCCCCAGTCTGATCCCAGGGGTTCCCAGTCTGATCTCTCAGCACCCAGCCCACCCCCGCCCCATGGCACCCAGTACAGCCCCCATGGGACCCACTCCAATCCCCTGGGGTACCCAGTCTGACCCCCCCAAAGCACCCAGTCTGACCCTCACCATGACACCCAGTCCAATCCATGGGGCACCCAATCCCACCCTTCCATGGCACCCGGTCAATCCTGCAGCCCAACCCCCCATGGCACCCAGCCTGACCCCTGGGGCACCCAGTCCCTCTCCTCCCACATTCTGCCCCTTAGCACCCACTCCAGGCCCCACAGGACCCAATCCAATTCCCTGGAGCACCCAGTCTGACCTCCCATAGCGCCCAGTCCAATCTACCCCTCACACCCAGTCTGACCCCCACCATGACACCCAGTCCAGTCCATGGGGCACCCAATCCCACCCTTCCATGGCACCCGGTCCAATCCCCCAGTCCGACCCCCCATGGCACCCAGCCTGACCCCTGGAGCACCCAGTCCCTCCCTATGCACCCAGCCCACCCCATGCCCCATGGCACCCAGTCTGACCCCCATGGGACTCCTCCCAGTCCCCTGTGACACATAGTCCAACCCCCCATGACACCCAGTCCGATGCCAGGGGGAACCCAAACCCACCTCTCCATGGCACCCATTTCACCCCTGCCCCATAGCACCCAGTCCAACCCCACAGCACTCAGTCCAACCCCAGAGCACCCAGTCCAACCCCATAGCACCCAGTCTGACCCCACAGCACCCAGTCCGACCCCACAGCACCCAGTCCACCCCCCCCCCCCATCCCCAGTGTCCCCCCACGTCCCCCTTGCTGGGTGTCCCCCCTCACCTCTCGGATGGGCACGGTGACAGCGGTGGGGACCCTGGCCGGGGGGGTGGCACTGGAGAAGTGCTCCAGGAGGATCCCGTTGCCCTGGAGCAGGACGTCGGGGTGCCGGGGGGGTGGGGGGGCCCCCGGGGGGGCTCGGTGTGTCACCCTGTACCGCAGCTCCCCCCCGTACGCCGTCACCTGCGGGGACACTTGGCATGGCCGGGGGTCCCTGTCCCCGCAGCCAGTGGCAGGGGGGGGACACTGAGGCACAGTGTGGTTTGGGGGGGTCACCCTGTCCCCCCAGAGTAGCAGCAGGTGACATTGTGGGGCTCAGGTCAACTCAGGGGTGTCACCCTGTCACCCCAGAGTTACGGGGTGGACACAGTGAGGCTCGGTGTAGCTCTGGGATGTCACCTTGTCCCCCCCTGAGCTGGCAGACGGGGACGTTGTGAGGCTCAGGGTGGCCCAGGGGTGTCACCCCATTATCCCCCGACGCAGTGGTGAGGGACAAGGTGAGGCTCAGTGTGATTTGAGGGTGTCACCCTGTCCCCCCAGAGTGGCAGCAGGTGACACTGTGGGGGCTCAGGTCAGCCCAGGGGCGTCCCCCTGTCCCCCCAGAGTTGGCAGCAGGTGACACGAAGCTCTGCTTGGCTCGAGGGTGTCACCCTGTCCCTGAGCTGGCACTGGGGACATTGTAGGCTCAGTGTGGCCCAGGGGTGTCACCCTGTTTCCCCCCTGGAGTGGCGGTGGGCTCAGGGTGGTTTGGGGGTGTCACCCTGTCCCTGAGCTGGCACTGGGGACATGGTTAGGGTTGGTGTGGCCCAGGGTGTCACCCTGTCCCCGAGCTGGCACTGGGGACACGGTGAGCTCAGGGTGGCCCAGCAGTGTCACCTTGTCCCCGGCGAAGGGTGGTGGCAGCACCCAGTACAGGACACCCCGCGGCAGGTCCCGGAAGGTGTCGAGGAGCAGCTCCCGCGGGGACACGAAGCGGGGCACGGCCCCTGGCAGGGGGGTGCCCGACAGGTTGGCCAGGGGCAGCGGGGCAGAGTCCTCCGAGGTCAGCAGCACCTGGGGAGGGAGAGCGGTGGGCACGGCGTGGCACGGCATGGCATGGCATGGCACAGCATGGCATGGCATGGCACAGCATGGCATGGCACTACATGGAATGACACGGCATGGCATGGCACGACACTCCCTGTCATGGCATGGCACTACACAGCACAGCGCTACATGGCAGGTTTGACATGGCACTACATGGCATGGCACAGCACCACATGGCATAGTGTGACATGGCACGGCATGGCATGTCCAGGCAGGGCATGGCGTGGCACACAAAGCCACATAATGGCGCGTGGCAAGACACGGCATGACATGACATAGCCTGGCATGGTGTGTGATGGCACCACATGGCACAGCATGACATGGTATGTCAAGGCACAGCATGACATGGTATATCAAGGCACAGCATGGCATGGCATGGCATGGATGACGTGACATACCATGGCACGACATGGCACTACATGGCATGGTATAACATGGCATATCATGCCATGACGTGGCACGATGAGGTACAGCATGGCATGGCACAGCACAGTGTGGCAGGGCATGGCCTGGCACCACAGGGCACGACACGACAGATGACGGCCCATCCTCACATGGCATGGCAAGGCGTGGCAGGACATGGCACAGCACGGCATGGCATTGACATGGCATGGCACAGCATGGCACTACACGGCGTGGCGTGGCTTGGCATGACACAGTATGGCTCAGCATGGCACTGCATGGCACGACGGCACGACACGGTGCAAGATGGCACAGCAAGGCACAGCATGGCACAACACAGCACGGCGTGACATAGCGTGGCACAGCATGGCACATAATGGTGTGGCATGGCTTGGTATGACACAGTACGGCCCAGCACGGCCCAACACGGTCCAACATGGCAAGACACGCCAAGGCACGTCAGGACATGGTACGGGATGGCACAGCATGGCACAGCATGGCACAGCATGGCACAGCGTGGCACGTTGTGGCCTGGCACGGTCTGGCCTGCCCCGTCCCCCCCCGTGCCCCCTCCCAGTACCTGGTGTCGGTGCCAGGCGGAGCTGGCACAGGAGCGGGACAGCCCCATGCAGAAGCAGGGCAGGCAGCCCGCGGGGTTGGCAGCGCTCAGGTGGAAGGTGCCCGCGGCACAGGAGTCGCAGAGCCGGCCCCGCACGTTGGGCTGCGGGCACAGGGAGGGGGCAGAGTGAGAGGGGCGCGGGGGGCACGGGGCTGGGTGCTGGGGGTGGGTTGGGTGCCACGGGGTGAGGGTGGGATGGGTGCTGGGGGTCGGAGTGGGGACCCCAGGGATTGGGCTGGGTGCTGGGGGGTGGGACTGGGTGCTATGGGGGGGCAGACTGGGTGTCATGGGGGGTCAGACTGGGTGTCATGAGGAGGTCAGAGTGGGTGCTATGGGGGAGTTTATCATGGGTGCTGTGGGTGGGATGGTGGGACTGGGTGCTGTGGGCGATCAAACTGGGTGTTATGGGGGGTTGGACTGGGAGCTGGGGGGTCGGACTGGGAGCTGGGGGGTCAGACTGGGTGCTATGGGGGGTCAGACTGGATGCTATGGAGGGGTTTGTCATGGGTGCTGGGGGTGGGATGGTGGGACTGGGTGCCCCAGGGAGCAGACTGGGTGTTATGGGAGCATTGTAGTGTATCCCATGGGGGGTTGGGCTGGGTGCCATGGGGTGGGGGTGGGATGGGTGCTGGGAGGGTCAGACCAGGTGCCCAGGGAGCAGACTGGGTGCTATGGGGGGTCAGACTGGGTGCTATGGGGGGGTTGGGGTGGGTGCCATGGGGTGGGGGTGCCATGGGAGGGTCAGACTGGGTGCCATGGGGGGTCAGACTGGGGGGTTGGGCTGGGTGCCATGGGGTGGGAGTGCGATGGGTGCTGGGGGAGGAGGATGGGACTGGGTACCCCAGGGAGCAGACTGGGTGCTGGGGGGGCGGCAACCCCCACTCCCCCATTGCCCCCTGTTGCCCCCCAGTCCCTGCCCTCACCTTGCAGCGACAGGTGCCACCAGCCTCGTCCTGGCCCCCGCGGGTGTCACATTTGACAAGCTCCTGACCTGTGGGCAGCAGGGTGAGGGTGGGGGCCACCCAAGGGGGATGGATGCCCCCCAACCAGCCCCCCCCCACTCACCGATCGGGGTGCACTTGCCACCCGGCTGGATGGGGTCTCCCTCGTAGCCCGGGGCACACCTGTGGGGATGGGGGGTGATTGGGGGTGATTGGGGGGTGACTGGGGGGTGATATGAGGCTGAGGGGTGTGGGGGTTACAGGGACTCCCCCCCACCTCTCGCAGCGCCGGCCGGCGTATCCAGGGGCGCAGGCGTCGCAGGTGGCCTGGCCGTCCGTGTCCAGAAAGCACGACTCCGAGAACCTGTGGGGACAGCATGGACCAGTATGGACCAGTATGGACCATCACGGATCAGTGTGGACCAGTATGGATCAATATGGACCACTACGGATCAGTATGGACCAGTATGGATCAATATGGACCACTACGGATCAGTATGGACCAGTATGGATCAATATGGACCATTACGGATCAGTATGGACCAGTGTGGATCAATACGGACCAGTAAGGACCAGTATGGGGCTTGGGGATGTCTTTGGAGAGCTCCTAGTGCTCCCAGTATGGCCCAGGGCCTCCCCCAGTTCTCCTCCACAGGGAGGGGTATCACTGGCACAGTGGCACTGAGGAGGTCCCCAGGGGTGGCACTGGGGGGTCCCCGGGGTTGTCACCCACCTGCGCGAGGGCTCCGTGTAGGGACAGGGACAGGGGTGGCAGGCGGTGGCCGTGCCCTTGGTGGCATCGCCGAAGAAGCCGGGTCTGCACTTCTCGCACTGTGGCCCCTCTGTGTTGTGCTGGCAGTTCTGGGGACACACACACACACACGTGTCACAGGGGGGTGGTGGCACCGTGCCACCGTGCCACATCCCTGTCCCTTTGTCACCTCCCCAGCCCGCCCGCCCCTTACCAGGCAGTGCCCAAACACGGGGTCGCAGGTGCTGGAGTGGCCGTGGCAGCCGCAGCCGGAGCAGGTCCCCAGGTAGGGTCCCCTCGTCACCCGCTCGAAGCGGGGGGCACAGCGCTGGCACGACAGCCCCGTGTAGCCCACGGGGCACCTGGGGACACAGCGGGGAGATGGTGGCATCGTGGCATCACAGCATGGTGGCACCAAGCCTGTGACTTCGCCGTCAGTAGTCACCTGCACTCCTCAACGTCGCCAGCTGGCCCCAGGCCGGTGTCCCCGGTGCTGGTGACATCCATGGCCACGTCGCTGAGCCCCACGCTGGCCATGCGCCCGTCGTACACCGCCCGGATGAAGATGCCCTCCAGCCCCTGCAGCACCAGCAGCAGCAGCTCCCGGCTCACCGGGGCACCCTGCTCGTCCTCCCAGTGCTCCTGTCACGGGGCAGTGACAGCGGTGTCACAGCAGGCTGGTGGCAGTGCTGGCATCACCCCCTGGCACCGCTGGCATCGTTCGCCTTGCGTCACTGGCATCACTTACCCACTGTCAGCATCACTCACTCATTGCTCTGGCATCACCCGCCCACCACCATCACCCACCACCACCATCACCCACCACCATCACCTACCACCAGCATCACCCATCATCGGCATCACCCACCCAGCCACCACCACTATCACCCACCACTGGCATTGCCCACCAACTCACCCCCACCATCACCCACTGCTGGCATTGCCCACCTCACCATCACCCCCCACCACCACCCCTCTCCACCCACCCCCCCCACCAGCATTGCCCACCCACCACCACCACCCACTGTCACTGACCCACCACCACCATCACCCCCCACCCCCCACCGTCACCAACCCACCACCACCACCCACCACCAGCGTCACCCACCCACCCACCACCATGACCCACCAGTGGCATCACCCACCATCATAACCAGTATCACCCATCCATCACCACCATAACCTCCCCACCATCACCCACCCACCACCACCATCACCCACCCACCACCAGCATCACCCACCCACCACCAGCATCACCTCTCCTCCACCACCACCATCACCCACCACCCCTGCCCTCCTCCCACCCACCTCGGTGAGGGGCACGTGCCGCCGGTTGAGGATGTTGGGCTGGGTGGCCCCAGCCCTCGCCCGCAGCTGCCGCCCGTGGCCCCGCAGCAGCAGGTCGGGGTGGGTGGTGGGCTCGGGGGGCCCCCGGCCCAGCCGGTACCGCACCCCATAGCTCAGCGCTCCCCCGTAGGCGTCCACCTGGCAGCACAGGGACTGTCAGCGGCTGTACCGCTGGCATCCCCCGCCCTGTCCCCACCCCAGCGTCACCTTGTCCCCAAGGAAGGGCTCTGGCAACGCCCAGAAGACGTCGAGTGCCAGGAAGCGCCGGGACAGATCCAGGAGCTGGAATTCCTCCACGGCCGCGTCCACGTGGAGCTGGGTGGCCGAGAGCACCGGCGCGGCCGGCGCCGCCGGCACTGTCACGTTGACACCTGCGAGGGGGACACTCAGCCCTTGTCCCCTGTCCCTCATCCCCTGGCTCGTCCCTCGTCCCCACAACTCACCCTTGGTGTCGTCGGGGCGGTCGAAGCGCAGGTGGATCCGGTGCCGGTGCCGGGCGGTGCCGCGGCACGAGGTGGTGACGCCGAAGCAGAAGCAGGGCAGGCAGCGGGATGTCCCCGTCACCTGGAAGTGCCCCTCGGGACACGGCCCTGCAGGGGGTGAGGCAGCGGGTGAGGGGGCACTGCCACGCTGGGGGGGTGGGATGCAGAGGGGCAGTGTGGGTGCTCACCGGGGCGGGTGACGGTGAGGATGCTGTCAGGGATGCCAAACACCATGCCCAGGGTGTTGATGGCCTCGCAGGTGTAGGCGCCTTGGTCGGCCTCCTTCACATCCCGGATGGTCAGGGTGCCCTGCCCGGCCTCGCTCACGATCGATACCCTGCACGGCACGCTTGGCACCCCGGGCACGGCACACGCCGTGCCCCAAACACACCGTGCCACACACACATGGGGCACAAACACCCCGTGCCCAGCGCACCCAGAACCCAGTACCCATCACACCTGGTGCCCAGCACACCCAGTGGCACACACACAGTGTCACACACACACAGTGGCACACACACAGTGCCACACACACAGTGGCACACACACAGTGTCACACGCTCAGTGCCACACACACCCAGTGTCACAGACACCCAGTGTCACACGCACCCAGTGCCATGCACACACAGTGTCACACACACAGTGTCACACACACAGAGTGTCACACACACACAGTGTCACACACACAGTGTCACACACACACAGCACACACACTCAGTGTCACACACACCCAGTCACACATGCAACACACACAGTGCCACTCACACCCAGTGTCACGCACACTCAGCATGCACACCCAGCACACCCAGTGTCACACACACCCAGTGTCACACACACCCAGTGTCACACACACCCAGTGTCACACACACCTGGCACCCAGTAAACCCACAGCCCCGCACACCCAACCCCTGGGACACCCAGTGCCCTGCACACCCAGTCCCCTGACACCCGGTGCCCCGCACACCCAGCACACCCAGCACACCCAGCACACCCAGCACACCCAGCACACCC